GCAAGCACCTCGAGTCTATCGACCGGAGCTCGAACTTCAGATCAAGGCAGAGGTTGAAAATTTGCTTCTCGTAGGTTTCATTAAACCAATCTTGCATCCCACTTAGCTGGCAAACATTGTCCCTGTGAAAAAGAAGAATGGGCAAATCCACATCTGTGTTGATTTTCGTGACCTCAACAAGGCATGCCCAAAAGATGATTTCCCCCTCCTAATCATTGACACGCTGGTTGATGTAACGGCTAGGCATTCACTTTTTTCCTTCATGGATGGCTACAGTGGCTACAATTAGATACAAATGGCTGAAGAGGATGCGCATAAGACCGCATTTTGAGGGAAAACAGAGGAAATGTTCAGTGTAGGAGGAGGAGAAGAAGACCAACTATCAAGATAAAGATGGTGGTAAGGCGAGTATACAATATCTTATGACAGCTTCCTCTTCTGGGTTAGTTATTCCTTCATAGGACAATACTATTTATAGATTCGGATTCCATTAGTTATTATCCAATGGTCCCTTCTGTGCATGGTTCCTCGCATGCATTACTACCAATCTGGATTACGTGAGTAATCCTGGAGATTTAGGAGTCAGAAGGGTCTGATCCTTTCCTCGAGCCTTGTCCTACATTGCCATGCCACTTCTCCTTTAATCAGGGGCATTAAATGTTGCTTGGCCGTCAGTTGATCAAGCCTGACACAACATTAAATGTGATTTTAAGGTTTGCTGTCATGACATGTATAATCACATCATCTTGCTAATTGGGCCTTGTTGAGAGCGAAAGCACCTCTTGACTTCTCTTCCACCAATCTAAGATCCTCCTAAGTTTCCCAAACATAGATTCCCTATAGCTGCGAAGGCCCTACCTTTATTTTGTGCTATACGCGATCTTCTAATGGCGAGTCCTTTGGGGCTCCAGTCTTTCAAAATGATGTTGCCTGGCGCAATGCCAGGGCTTAGGATATTCGAGAGTTAGTCCCTCGAGGCATGATGTGCCTGGAGCGGCGCCAGAGCTTAGGGCACTCGAGGATTGGTTCCTCGAGGCTTGATGGCCCTGGAACGACGCCAGGGCTTAGGGTGCTCGAAGTTCGATTTTTCGAGGCTTGATGGGCCTGGATCGACGCCAGGACTTAGGGTGCTTGAAGTTTGATTCTTCGAGACTTGATGGGCCTGGAGTGATGCCGGGGTTTAAGGTGCTTGAATTTTGATCTTTCGAGGCTTGATGGGTCTGCATTGACGCCAGGGCTTAGGGTGCTCAAAATTTGATTTTTCAAGGCTTGATGGGCCTGGAGCGATGCCAGGGCTTAGGGTACTCAAAGTTTGATCTTTCGAGGCTTGATGGTCCTGGAGCGATGCCAGGGCTTAGGGTGCTCGAAGTTTAATCTTTCGAGGCTTGGTGGGGGCTTAAGGTGCTCGAAGTTTGATCTTTCGAGACTTGGTGGGCCTGTAGCAATGCCAGGGCTTAGGGTGCTCGAGGGTTGATTCCTCGAGGCTTAATGGGCCTGGAGCGATGCCAAAGTTTAGGGTGCTCGAAGTTTGATCTTTCGAGGCTTGGTGGGCTTGGAGCGATGTCAGGGCTTAGGATGCTCGATGGTTCATTCCTAGAGGCTTAATGGGCCTGGAGTAGTACCAAGGCTTAGGGTGCTCGAAGGTTGGTCCTTCGAGACTTTTGATTTTTTAAATCGCCACGGGGGATTTGGTTAGCGTTGTTCTGACTTGTCAACATGCCATGTCAGCCTTCAATAAATGACACCCACAGAAGGTATAAAAAATTTCTATTGTGGTTTTTATGGTGATGGACATCTGGTGTTTTTATGTTATTTTGTGTATTTATTTACTTTGACAGCAATAGGAATTTTTATTTTTTAGTTTTTTTTCGGAAGATGACAGCAACAGGAAATTTAATAGGGATACTACCTATATAACAGGTATAAGGGATACTTTAGTCGTTTTGCATCCTTAGTTAACGTCCTTATGAATCTGTTACCCCCCTCAGATAGTTGAGAGGAATTTTATGAAATAAAAATAGTCAAGGGGTTTAGTGAATAAAGGTGAAAGTCAGAGGCGTTTTTTAGACTTTACCCCTTTTTTTTTTTTTTTTTTAATTCTCTACTGTCATACATGTAAGACTTCATGTAATCTTACTCTAATTATAAACACGTGTATACGATATATACCAATATCCGAGAACAGAATATATATATAAGTCACAAGGGAGTTAGAAATTGTAGGCCGGGCAGAATTTGTATTATGTAATTAAAGTTTGAAAATTTTATAAATAAGTAGTGATATAATTTTTTTATAAATATTAGTCATAGTATATATATTTTGAAAAAGTAAAAAAAATATAATTTAATAATAGATGAAAAATTAATATTTAAAAGAAAAATATAGAAAAATAATGATGGGTTACAATTAAAAATAGAAGATGTACATAGACAAGTATTGTTAGATAATCAAATTTTCTTCATCAATTGTTTCAGTTTTCAAAATCTAATTTTTGGAAGAAAATTTTCTGAGTATTTTGATTTCACTTGGGAAAGATAAACCTAGATGAAAGATTAGAAAAAAATAATGAATTTTAACTAAACAAAATGTTTTTAAATCTCTTGAATTAATATTATAGATATTGTACATGTGGTCATGTGTATATGTAAATAAATTAACAATGTGTTACAATAACAACTATAATAATAATGAGTAGCTTCATAATATTTGAGCTTTTAAAACCATAGTTAAAAGGGTTCGAGTAGAATTTTTAAAATTTTTGAATCAATATATAATTGTTTTGAAAAAATGGGGTGAATTGAATTTTTAATTATTTGTAAAAATAATATTTAGAAATTAATTAATATTTAAGAGATAATAATAAAAAAATTCAAAAAGTCTCTGTCCTTGCAAGTCTTTCGTTTGGTGGGGAGGGGGTCTTCTTCTATTCTCTACTTTTTACCCTACGTATTGCTAAGTTTGAACTATAATTACATATTAGTCTTGCCCCAGAGAAAGTGAGTAAAATGTGCAGGGAATCTTATGATTTTGTTGCCCTAATTAAGATCAACATGCTTGTATAATTGATGGTTCAAATTATACTTTGGTGTGAGAGGATTTTAATGCCCTAGATTTGGATCTTATATATATACCTGCATGCATACACACGTGATATGTAATGTTCATATGACTTACCTTTTCAAAATCTAATACACCTGTGTCGAATTATTTAGAGAAGTATAGAAGTTTAGTTGTGTAACTAGTTTGGATGTAGAAGTTTAGTTGTGTTATTGAAAAAACGAATATAGATAACATATAGGGTTTTAACTTGTAAATATTTTAGATATATATATTTTTGAATATTATAGAATTCAATTCTAAAATGATTAGAATTGAGACACTTGTATATAACATAGCCATTCATTGAGCTTTGCAATAAGCTATAAATAAGGAATAGAAGCTCCTTTGCTTCCTATCAATTAACAAATGAGCAGTGATCGGGGAACCGAAAGGTATTCCCCGAAAAAACGACCGAATCTTTCGTGGCAAAGCCACGTCAGATTCTCACCCCTCTTACATGATGGAGTAAAAGAGTCCATCACGTGCAGATAAAAGAAATAAAAAATAAAAAAAGAAAAAGGGAGGGAAGGTGATTGTATATCGTGGGAAACTCAAGAGTCCCCAAAATTATAGAGAGCTCATGTTAAGAGAAAAACCCTACAAATCTTACATGTAATTTAGACCCTAAACAAGATTGAAGGTATGATTTACAATTTTTTCCAGTCTATTTTCTGTATTTTGATTTAGTCTTATTATTCGTATTATTTTAATATGTCGATGAAAAAACAAAAGAAGAGTTGGGAAGATATTTTTTGTATTTTGATTTAGTCTTATTATTCGTATTCTTTTAATATGTTGATGAGAAAACAAAAGAAGAGTTGGGAAGAACATGGATTGTTCCACTTATATTTATCCTTTATCCACTTATCTTTATCTTGTTATATATGTGGTATAGTTTAAATTTTACACTGATACATCAAATTAAATCACTATTATACCTTACACTTTGCTGGAAGAATTCTTGTAAGAGTAACAATCTCCTACGCTTAAATTTTATGAACGAAACAGACGAAAGAAACAGTCCAAATGAACTAAAACTACGTACCATAGACACTTTGTCAAACAAAAGTAAGTATTTTGAATGTAATTTATTGGCTTACAAAGAGGATTGTATATCCAATCTACAACAATTGCTAGCAAAACTCTAACCCTAAAGAATTATCTTATTTCTCCTAAATTATTTAGGGATTGTTTGGTTGTTTATGATTATTGCATTGTTATATTATGTTAAAATAGCATTTGAAAGTACAACTTGTAGTGTGATATCTACAGATTTATTAAATTTGTTTAATGAGATCAGGTTATGAAGGATAAGTTTTAATTAAACAAATGTTGAGAAAAATAAAAAAACACAATAAGACTTAATAGATTCTCTGATTAAAAAAAGAAAAAAAGAGGAAACATTACTATTTTTTTAATCTTGACTTAGAACAACAGGCGATATGAATCTAACACGACCAATGGATGTTTGTCCTTTTCTTATCCCTTTTTATTTTTGTTTTTTGTCAGTATTGTGATTATATGTATGTATGGTTTGGGAAATATTCATCGCCAAACTAAAAATATGTCCCTAAGTTAGAGGAAATGGAAACCAAAACTTGCATATAAAAGGACTTGAATGTTGCTAGTTTAATTCAGATTATTAGGTGTTTGGCATAAGCCTAATTTTTGTGATTTATTTTTGTTGGTACACATGTTAATCTTGGTCCTCTTTTTGAACAATATAATGATACTATTATAGTTAATTTCTCAAAAACTGTGTCACATTTATGTGAAACATTGTTAATGCTTCAAAACCATGTTAATGAATTATATTATTGCTGGCTAGTGCAAGGCATTGCTCCTTTGCATTGTATGCAATTATTTAGGTGATCAATTATTTCTTTGATTTTCATAAGAAATGGGGAACAATTCTCATGTGGAAATGCCATATGAAAAAGATGCATATATGCCTTGCAATTTGGAGAGTCCTAATAATGATAAAGTGAATGATCAAGAGTTGGAAAAGCAAATAGTTGATGATGAAGTGGAAATTCCCAAGATAGGGATGACTTTTGAGTCTGAGGAAGAGGTTCGTAATTATTTTAAGAAGTATGCAAAGCATCAGGGTTTTGGTGTAACAAAGAAAAGTGCAAAAAATAGAAGTGACGGAAAGTCAAGTTACTTTTCACTTGTTTGTTCTAGGAATGGTAACAAAATATCAAAGGCAAAGGGCCTTTTTCATCCAAGGCCTTCAAGTAAGACAAACTGTAAGGCCAAAATCAATGTTATAGTTAAAGATGATGGAAGGTTCACCATTAGTGGTGTCTATCTGGATCATAATCATGCATTAAGTCCAGGAAAGGCTCGACATTATAGATGTAACAAAGTATTAGATTCTCATGTAAAAAAAAAAAAAATTGGAGTTGAATGATTTAGCAGGCATAACTCTAACTAAAAATTATCATTCACTTGTTGTTAAAGGTGGTGGGTATGAGAACTTACCATTTGGTGAGAGGGAGTGTAGGAACTACATTGCAAAAGCAAGAGAGTCGAGACTTGGCATTGGAGATGCGGAAGCCCTTTTTAACTATTTTCGTCGCATGCAAAATAGGAATCCAAACTTCTTTTACATGATTGATACGGATGAGGAAGGGCGCTTAAGGAATGTTTTTTGGGCTGATGCTAGATGTCGAGCCACATATGAATCTTTTGGAGATGTTATTAGTTTTGATATAACTTACTTGACAAATAAATATGACATGCTTTTTGCTCCGTTTGTTGGGGTGAATCATCATGGGCAATCTATTTTATTTGGATGTGGTTTGTTATCTAATGAGGATACTGATACTTATATTTGGTTGTTTGAGTCTTGGTTGACATGTATGTCAAGTCGTGCTCCAAAAGCTATTATCACAGATCAGTGAAAAGCTATTCAAGCAGCTGTTGCAAAGGTGTTTCCAAAACATTCTCATCGATTGTGCCTTTGGCATATAATGCAAAAGATTCCAATGAAGTTGGGTGGACTTACCCAATATAAAGAAATGAAGAGCATCTTAAAAAGTATTGTGTATGAATCAATGAATTGTGATGAGTTTGAAAGGAGTTGGATGAAATTGATTGAAGAATACAAGCTTCAAAATAATGAATGGTTGAAGTCATTATATAAAGATCGTCATCGTTGGGTTCCAGTAAATGTGAGATGCACTTTTTGGGTTGGAATGTCAACTACCCAACGAAGTGAAAGCATGAATGCTTTCTTTGATGGGTATGTTCACTCAAAGACATCCTTGTAGCAATTTGTTGAACAATATGATAATGCCTTAAAGAGCAAGGTTGAAAAAGAAAATAAAGTAGATTTTGCTTCTTTCAGTTCTGCCATTCCAATGATAACTGACGAGGTCCCTTGTAAACGCCAAACTAAATGTAGTGAATGTGTGGTTCAAGAAAAGCCTTTTATGTCAAATTTAAATTTATAAAAACCACTACCAACACCACTACTAACGTAGCAAGAGTGAGTAGGGATCGTCCCAATGGATTATACGTGTTGGAATTTCAACTTCGACTCTAGCGTACCAAATGATTGCAAAAGAGAGTTGGGTTGGTTGATTAAGCTAAATTGAATTTAACTAAATAAAATAATATGAAGTAAACAAGAGAGAGAGAGGTCTTGGGGTGTAGAGATCACCACCAAACAATACTATTCCAAACCATAATCAAGTGATTAATGAGGGAAATGAATGTGTTGCAACAATGTTGTGTGTGTAAAAGACATTCAATTGGTAAGGGTGACTCAATAAGTGCAAATTGTCTCAATCAACATGTGTGAGGCCACAATACATCTATTGGTAGAGAAATATATTGTCTAAACATCATGTGAAGATAACAAAATAACAATTCAAGTCATTGAACCTTTCATTAAGCTCATAGTCCAAGCAATCCATAAGGATGATTTAGTTAAACATGCATTATCTAAACATCATGTGAGAGGTACAAAATATCTATTGGGAGAGGAATAAATTGTCTAAACACATGTGAAAGATACAACATATCATAACTAGTCATTAATCCTTCATTAAGCTCACAATCCACATACAACACAATATTAGAGGAATATGCCATTTGGACTCACAAGCATGGAACATCAAACATCAAGAGTAGATTGTCCTCCCATCTAACATTACACTACCACTACACTAAATCTACACTACTAGCATGAAAATAAAGCTATATAAACTAGGGGAGAGGCACAAACCATCAAGAATAGGCATAAACCATCAAATGAACCAAAATAGCATTCATTAAGTATATCATCTTGATAATCTCTAGATCTATAGCATCAATACACATAGACATGCATCAAAAACACTAAATCTAGGGATAAGCACATGAATATCCTACTCTATCATACATAGACATATGGATAGAATAGAATAGTCAATTGGAAACATTAAACCATATAAACCATGAAATAATCAAGATTTATATATACATGAATATCAAGATGTATCATACAACACTAATCCCTCAATAATACACAAGATTAGAGTATAGAAAGCATGCTTGGGGCTAACTCTAGCCCCAAGAGGATGTCTAGCCACTCATGGTAGTGATGATCCAACCCTCAAGGGCTAACTCCATGGCTGCTCCTTGTTAGTGAAGATCTCCTCCAATAGTGCTCTAGCTTCCCTCCTTCCTCCTCTCCAAGAATAGCCTCTAAGATGATTTTCAATGTGTGACAAGAGACTTACTCAAAAGTGTATCATATTCCTTATGTAGGTAGGTCAAATACACCCCATGATGAGCTGTGGTCGTGCAAGGCATATTCTCCAACGATTGGATGAAGGACGGAATAAATGAGCTGGACTTTAACTTTTTCTCGCTGGAGGAAGTTCGATCGATCGAACCTTAACTTGGATCGATCGAAAATGGGTTCAATCGATCGAACTGCATCTTGGATCGATCGAAGTGGTCTGACTCCTCCGGATAATGACAAGGCTGGGATATTTTCAAGATATTTATGGGGAAAAAGACAAAAGTGGTTGGTTGGCGTACAGCTGTGGATAAGATCAATCATTTGAATAGGACAAAATAGGGTTCGATCGATCGAAGGTGATGTTCGATCGATCGAACTTGGAATTTCAGCAAAGGCCAAGGTTGGATCTATCGAGAAGTACTGTGATCGATCATAGATGTTCGATCGATCGAACTCTAAGTTGGATCGATCGAACTTTTCAGCTGCACAACTTGATTCCTTTTTGCTCATTTCTTTTTCCACTTTGTCCCTCCTTTGGTTTATCTCAGGATTGCTTCAATTAAGCTCTTATTTGGCTGAGTTAGCTCAATTTTGGGATTAGTGCCTAAAAATATAAATAACACGTAATAAGTCTAAAACGGCAAACTAAGATAGATAAAGGTACTAGAATGCTTAAGCTTAACGGGTTTAAATGCGCACTTTTCAGTGCTCATCACACCTCCAAACTTAAATATTGCTAGTCCCTAGCAATGAACTAAGAAGTAATGGAATGAAATAAACAACTATACAAGTATAAACTGGAAAGCAAGTAAAATGATAACACCATTTTCGTAGGGAACACGATTGCATTTAGCATATGCAACAAGCCATTTAAACCCCTAGGTAACCCCTAGTGGACGAGTAAAGTCTCGTGAGGGTTTCCAGAAATAGTACCCACAAACATTAAGCTCATTCTTTCAAAAGAGGCACCAATATTGCAAACAAGCATTGGGAGAAAACTACCTCAAGTATGCAATTTTTCAACCGTTTCTAAGCAATTTTCCATAATTTCAATTTCAAGCAAGCAAGTATGATTCTCCACATATCAAGAAAATGATCATGAAAATCGAAATAAATCTAGAATCCATGTGAGAGGTCCGGCATCAAGTGTGTTGCTATCTTAGCCAACTAGAGAAGTAATCACATCCTTATCCTCAAACTAGCACACAAATCTAGTACCGATCATCAAGATAAGAGAGTGGACCTTTTATTAAAGCTTTATTATTCTAGGTGCGCTTATTCTTTTCACTCATTTTCTTCTTCTTTTTTCTTTTTATTATTATTTTATATTGAGGATCAAAGATGGAAATATTGTGCAATGTATTGATCTCTTAAGCTTTCTAGAAGATTCATGTAGCGAGCTTTAGGTTAATGACTCCCAAACCAGATGGCTTTAGGGCATTAGGTGTTAAGACACCCCAACGGACTTACAAACTCAAATCAACTAGGTTACAAATCAAGACAACAACCATCTAATCATTTCCCACTTCTCGCCTTTTGGGAGAAGTCCTCACTTTTATTGCTTTTTGCAACTCTTTTTTTTTTTTTTTCAATTATTAACCTAGAGTTTGGGCCCTCCACCTTTCGGCGCGAAAAGTTCACTGCTTAATGAGGCAAGAATCCCGGCTACTCAATGAAAAGGGGTTGTTATCCACATTTATCAAGAATGAAAGCTTTCAATGCACTACTAGCCCAATTGGGATATAACCAATTCAATAATCAACAAAGCATGTACCCCACAATTGAATGCTAGCGTGCGCCGGTGCTAGTGTAGAATCCTAGAATGAATCTCAAAACAATCACAAAATCAAGATTATGTGGATCACAAGTGCAAGCATGATATTAATAATTTTTGAAAAATTTACTCCTAAATGGCATTCAAAAGGCATACAAGGAGTATTGGACTCTCAAGTCAAGCAATTTTTAAATTTTAAGCAATATAGTCCTCAAAAGATCAAAATCATAGCTAGAAATGGACCAAGTACAGAAATATCCCTCAAATACACAAGACATGCTCAAAATTTGAATTTTAAAGTAACACTGAAACATACACCAATACCCCCAAACTTAAACTGCATATTGTCCTCAATGTGTGAAGAGAACAAAGGAAAGAGTATACTAGTGCTGTAGACATGAATGATCGGGATAGAAGTATCCAAAGTGGGTGGCATGGCCCCCCCAAACTTGGGATAAACTGTGGTCCTGAAAAGTTTGCACTCGGATAAACTCATTAGATAACAAAGTAGGATAATCAGTGCACAGTGGACATGCAAGTGTAAATGGGATGAAAGATAGAGAATAGAGAGAGGTGTAAGGTGGTCCTGAAAAATTGGGCAGCACTCTCTCACTGAAGTCACTGTGGTGTACCTGATGGAGTCAAACATACAAATATGAGATACTAAGAGACATCCATAATAAAAAAACAATATATAGAGAATATAAAGTGCAGGTACATCAATAAAATAATAAAGCCGACAGACTGGCCGCAAAGTATAATACAGTAACAGTGACAGTATAATACAGATCCAGAATAAAAGAAATGAAAGCATAGAACAACTGGAAGTGGAGTCTCAGGAGGCCTAATCGTGAAGATCTGCAGTGGCTGGAGGTGCAGGTGCAGGTGCAGGTGCAGGGAGTCGGCTAGAGAGATCGGCAAAGCAAGCCATGACATCCGCCCTGAAAGAGGTGAACTCAGCTCGGTGGGCAGTGATGTCGGCTCACATGGCTGCTACGTCATTTTAAAATCCTCAAATAGTTCGATCGATCGAATCCGAACTTGGATCGATCGAACTATTTGCTCTCCCAACTATATATATATATATATATATATATATATATATTTTGAATTTGAATTTTGAAAAATCAAAGGAAATTAAATTAATGAGATGCAAATTTCGATCGATCGAAGAAAGATTTCGATCGATCGAAGAGGATAAAGAATGTACAAGTTTAAGGGCTCAAGAGTTGACACGTGTTGGAACCTTGGATCGATCGAACTTGGAATTCGATCGATCGAACATGAAAAATTTTGAAAAGTCCCGAGAGCATGCATTTTGGAATTTGGATGCAGGTCCAAAATTTTCTAAGTGTTGGGACTCATGATCGATCGAATCCGAACTTGGATCGATCGAA